CAAGCCAGCCGGGGGAGAGAAAGAGTTTCCGGCATAGACACAACGCAGGAATCCTGAAGAGGAGCAGAGTCCGTGGAAGGAGAGTTCTGGGTGGAGAAGGCGGCAGACGAGTACGTGGGGAGCGGAAGCTGAACCGGGTGGCGGCGACGACGAGGGGAAAGAGGGAGGCTGCGAATGTGAATGTGAATGCGAATGCGAGGGCGCGGGGGTGAGGGGAGGTGCGCAATAGTACTGCGGCCCTTGCGCCTGCTCCAGTTCCTGCAGTTGGTGCTGGAGCTGCTGTTGGGCTTCAGGCAGCTTGGCGAAGGAGGAGTCTTGCGAAGAGGAAGAAGTATGTAGTCGGTGGCAAAAAGCCTTGTATTGGGCAACGCTCTCGCTGTCGTCAGGCAAGTCTGAAGAAGAAGTTGGAGGAAGAGATTTATGTAGGTGATGTGGGTGGGGGTGGTAGAGTTGCTGTTGTTGGAGAGGTAGTTGAGGAAGAAAGGGCGATTGCGATTGTGGATGTGGATGTGGATGAGGTGGGAGGTGGGCGAGCATGTCGACGACCGGAGCCCGCTTGATGGTATATATAAACTATAAATATAAATAAAAATAATATTAAGCTTGGAAATGGGGGGGTTGCTGGAACCACAGGAACAATTAGGGTTTCCAAGTCATGAAGGAGTGGCGAAAAATGAGTCGACCCCAGAGCGCGGACGACGGAGGGCGTGCGACGGGTCAAAGCAGAAGGTTCAAGGGGAGGAGAGACGGGAGGCGGGACTTGTTGGGAAGGGGGACAAGAAACAGATTGTTTTGGCGGACCGTCCAGATGAAACCGTGGCAGTGTTGGATGCGAATTGTCGTTGTGGAAGAGGGAGTGTCGTCTTTTGTTGTTGCCGCGAGAATGTGGTAATGGTTATATAGATAGATCACACACCTCGATGCTCCTGCGCCGGCGGGCTGGCTTACGGTATTTGTATCGTGGGTGCGCAAAACAACGTCACCGGCGGTATCCTTGGCGTATTTTCCCGTGCGTCGCCAACCCCTGTCATTACATTACGCCGGTCCGTTTCCTTTTTGCGTTTTCCCTGACTCAGCGTTACCACGGTTGCGTATTTCTTTTTTTTCCGTTTTGCAAAAACAGCTGGAATGCCAAGCAGAAAAGCTAAACCGGCCAAGAGTGCGGCTGTGCATGCGTTTGTTAACAGCAACGTCCGTTTCACCCAGAACGGACAACCATGTTCTAATCAGTGAACAGGAATGAGAGTCTGAATTCAGCGAAGGCCAGAAGGGGAATGAGGAAATACAAAAAACTATGGCTCTGCGACGTGTATACAAGAATGTTGTCAGGGGTGCCGTTACGGGGGAATTCGGCAATCCAGCTTTGGTGGTGCACTGAATATCGTCAGCAAACATGAAAAAAAAATAAATAAATAAATAAATAAATAAATAAATAAATAAATAAATAAATAAATAAATAAATAGTACAAATAATAAAATAATAATGAAAAACACCGCTCTGCGCTCAAGCCCGGCAATTATCAACCAAAGATCCCTAGTCGAATATATTACAAATTACCCCAACTACCGTCATTTGAAAGATGACCGAACGGTGATGCTGGTGATGATGCAGCGCGATCCCATTGGAACAAGCGTTTCCGAGAGTGTATGTCGACCCAACCTACCTCATTATCCTCTGCTCGGCCTTGGTAACTCCCACTACGGGTCTTTGGCACAAAAGATATTTTTTGGAATCATCCGCCAGCCGAAACGGACAGCATCAGGGGAAGAGTTGAGGGAAAAGCAAACAGAAACCTCATCAATCTCCAGCTCAATGAACTCCGTGCTTGGCCTGTCAACTTCTTGTAGGGCTGAGTAAATTTTCCAAGCCGTCGATTATCCCAAACGCCTAAACGCCCCCCAAAAGTAAACGGCAAAGCATCAAAGCGACCCAGTAGGAATCTAACTAACTTCCAGGGAGTAAATAAACATCGAAGCCCACCAGGAGGCCTAAAAGTGGGGCCACCTTCGAGTTTTTCCGCCAGGGTCTTGGCTCTTCTTGCTCTTGGGGGATGACATCAGGGCATGGCTTGGCATCATCAACAAGCACCAAGAACCACCGGCCTGGTCCTCTGCAGCAAAATGTTCCTTCCAGCCGCCTTGTCCCAACAGACAGGCTGTCCAAAAGCCAGAGCATAGTGACTCCAGCGCTGCGCATAGGCACACACTTAAACCTCCTACGCACGCACTGACAGCCGATTTCACTACTATATCTTCTCTTGCTTCCGCATGGACCGACCACTCGAACGAAATTGCTGTTAGTTAAAGCCCTTCGTTTGGGTCAATTTCGGGTCAACCAGTCGCTTAGCTTTTTTACTATGTATATAGATGGTTATAATTCAATCTTCAGGATGGAAAGAAGAAGTTTATCACTGCTGTGTTTGTTGTGCTTGTACATGTACCATTGTAGGAACTTGCTCTTTGAGAGTAGAGTTTGGACAAATGTTGATGGGGGGAGTCGCCCTGAACTTTAACTAAACTCTTTAACTATTAATAGAGGCAAATAGAGGCACTTTTCAGGCTCGCCCAGAATGGCAGAAACTCCCTTTTCGTTGATATTCATGGCTTGGCAACTTAAAATTTTCGGGGAGACTCCTTGGATAACATTTTCCTATGGACGCCGGAGCAGATACGAGAAACTTTTTATTTTATTTTTCCCACCTTTTGCTTTCTCGATTGCACCAGGACACCTTGTTTTACGCGTGATTTCATATAGAATTATTATTATTGGAAAACTTCATAGGAACCAAAATGAAGTTGAAGTTGAAGTTGATGAGTCCACCTAGAAGCTTGTCTACAAACAAATTTCAAAAAAGAAAACGCTATTTTCCCGGCTCCTTTCTTCCTCCCACGAGGTGAAGGTCGTGAATGCATTTCGGCAACAAAAACAAGAGCACCGTAGCGACAATAAAATAATAATAATAATAATAATAATAATAATAAAAAGGGCCTGCCCCCCAACAACTAAAAATCCAAACCGCGGCTACTCAAAGGGGATAGCCTCGAAGTTTAGCGTCGCCTTGTTCCCGTCTGGTCAAGATCAACGACCAAGGCCTTAGCAAATATTCTTTTTCTTTCTCCACTCCTTCGCCCGCCAGCCAGTCAAGTGCTTCTCTTACTAATTTTTTTTTTTTTAAAAAACACCGATGTGCTCCTAAATCCGGAGTTGTGGGCGAAGCTTCAATCAAATCAACCAAAAAAAGTCTGGGTACACTGTGTGGCTGGAGCATAATCATTCCCCCCCCATTCCCAGTGCCACTGGGTCGGCCAGAGCACGTGGTGGGGATCGAAACCGGGCGCAAAAAACCAATGGGACGGAGTCCGTACTACTCTGTATACAATACAACCCTTCTTTGCCCGTACTGCCTCATGGATTAGGGAGGTAGTAAGGGAGTAGCAAGGGGTTATGGCTATGTCTGAACCGGGCTCAGACCTGACTCTCATTTGACAAGTTGATGGATCGCTGGGTGGGAAAAGGAGGGAAGAAGAAAGATCTACAACAATAACCTGGGGGTGGGAAAAAAAAAAATCCCCGCCCCCATCTTGTCAAGCTCATGCAGGTACCTGCGTTGTCCAGGCACAAGCCCTCGCCGATTTTATCAGACTATGCGATATGGCTAATGCGTGTGATTCCA